TTTGAATCCAAAAGGCACAGGATGTAATTGGTAGGAAAGTGCACATACATTGAACAATAATATCTAATGAGTTTTTGAGTGTCAAACTTATCACAAAGCATCTGCCAACAACGCTGTATGGTTTGTGATCAAATAATAAGTAATTTCAAAAGTAATATAACTAGTAAAAGACTTTAGTAAATTCCAAATTGTAGCATAAATAAATGATTAATACACTTACATTAATAGCTATCCATTCTTTAAGCCAATCCAAGAAAACTTGGAGGTCAAGGGTACCATTAAAAGAAGGGGCATCTATTCAGATGTTCTTGAGTAACTGCACATCCATACTTGTTAACGGCGAATGGAGCACCATGACGCAAAGGTCCTATTTGAGCCATGGAGCATAGCATACGGCACGGCGCGTGCCATTTTGAACATGGCGCAAATTATAAAAGAATTATAAATAATAAGCATGAATATGAAATATCATTAAATTGAAAGACAAACTATCATAATAACAAGCAAACAACGACAATACAAATAAATATCAATCCAACATAATTTCAAATCTAATAAGTAATCAATCTTTATACAACTAAAATATATTTAAATGAAAGTAAATAGCATTAAGAAGATAATAATATGCAATCTAACATTTATCTTAATACTTTTAATATATTTAAAAATTAGAAAATATATTATCTTAAAAAAATATAAAAAAAATTTATTTATAATTACATTAAAAAAAATTAAAACAAATGGCGCACGCTATTTTGCGCCATGGCGCGCTGTTGCACAAATAGCGCACGCCATTTTGAACGTTTGCGCCGCGCCGTGCGCCATGGCACGCTCTATTTTGCGCCATTGACATCTATGTGCGCATCATTATCTCTCCAAATCAGATCATGACCTACGGGTTCCTAATTGGGTCTATGGTTTTGATGATAATGGTCTCTAGGTGATCTGTAGTCAGCTTGTGGTTCTTCGACATACGGAGGAGGTCTAGAAGGAGTGTACATCGTATGGTTTTCTAGCCTTTCAATGTGGTCTAGACGGTCTCCAGCTTATTATCTAAAGTCAACTAACTCACCTTAGGTTTATCTAATTTGGGTCACAATGCCTAATTGTCCAACGATCAAGTCTAAAGTATGCTGAATTTGTTCCGGGTCCATTGGGATACACTTGGTAACACTTAGGGATGTTAAGGAATAGGGGGCAGCACCTAAACCTACATGCTAACACACCTAAAACTCACTAAATGATGAAGGGATATAGTGGACAGCAAACAACAATAATGTAAATGTTTTTATGCGGAGGTGAATGCAACCTAAGACGTCTATTGAATGTGTATGAAGGGGATCCTAAATTTAACTAGCATGCAACCATGTTCTGATACCAAGATGATGTGATACAAACAGGAATTGATAAAATTATTGTAAAGCTTGCTACTTTAAGATTAATGAACCACAAGAATTAACTTTAAGAATTTTCAGTTAAAGTTTGCTTTGGCATGCAATTACAAGCGAGGAGATCAAAACAACTAAAATAAAATAAAAAATTACAATTGACCTTAATTATACCGTAATAAGAATTCACGGGTTAATATTTAGAACATTCACATAGAGTTTCATCTCACTCACACTCTAAGAAAGGCTTTAGCGGAGAGATACTTTCAACAATTCAAACGACGCCACCAAGAGAGATAGGACACCAACAGTTTTGATCCACGGGAAGGTAGTCGAAGAAGGAGACACGGGTGGATGTCCGACGAGTTGCCACTGTCCGGAGGGTCGTTGTTCGTCAATAGTCTCGGCTAGGTGGAATAGTATGCAGTCAACGTAATCGTCGAGGTAATCTTCTAGCTCCTAGTCGGGATCGAAGAATGGCGACTGAAGAATATTGATTTTCCCTTGAGAATCGTACGTGAAACCGTGGTCGACTTCAGGATCGGCCATCCATAAATACAGGAGACTCCTCTCTTAGGATCCTTTGAGGGCCGGCGGTTTGTGAAGGAGGAAGGGAGGGAGGGGCCGACGGGTGGAGAGGATTTGAGTAGGGGAGGGGGGTGGCTAGGGTTAGGAGGGTTCTTAAATTTTGGGCTAGGGAGGTGGAAGGAAATAATTTAGAAATCTTAATTTAATTTCAGATTTTCCAAAAGGGAGGGAAGGGAATAATTTGAACTCAAAATAGGACTATAGGAACCGGCGGCTTAGGAGGGATTTATGGGGGAGTTTAATTGGAGTTTAGGATTAAATTCGAGAAAGAAAAGACAAAGGGGGGTCGGCCATATGAGGAGGGAGAGAGTGTGTCTAGGTTCAATGTATGTGGACCCTTGACTTTAATTAGAGATTGAAATCAAATCTAAAATTTAATTTCAGATTTGATTTAATTGAAGGGGTTTCCTAAATTAGTTTTATCAATAAGGAAAGAGTTTTAAATTCAAATATTGATTTGAATTCAAATAGGAAACTTTCCTAATCAATAATAGGCTATTTTAGGAAGGTGATTAAGGAAAAAATTGAATTGGAAATCAAACTTGTGGGCACTAGTTGGCTGGCGGCTTGGAGACCTTGGGAGGCCGGCAGCTTCGAGTGGTGGGGCGGCGGAAAGGGGAGGGGCGTCGGGTTTAGAAGGGGGGACGAAGGGGGAATTGAAAACCGGCGGGTTTGGGATGGGTTAGGAGGGGTGGCCAGTGGTGGAGGTAAGGGAGGGGGAAGATGGATCAACCACAAGATACTAGTCGCGAGCCTTTGACTCTTCCGAAGACTGACGGGTATTGCAATCACCCTCACCTAGGGTTCTCTTTCTTCTCTCAAAGCTACAACATTGAAGAAGACAAAAGCTAAGAATTTTATTCATCAAATCATCATCATAATACAATAGAAGGGTCCTTATATATAGGCTTCAACATGACAAAAGAAAAAGGACTAAAATGCCCTTAGGGCTACAACATAAAACTAACTACCCATAGGGGTAAAATATGAAAAACTGAAATATAAAAATAAACAATACATAAAATGCATCAAAAATAAAAGCTCCTGATCATGGTTGTCGATCTCTGATGTCTTCTCTGATATACGCGCCAAAATCTCCTACTGATGTCCTCATCACATTCTCCTCCACTTCTTCCGGCCATCATCAGGTCTTCTTGCAACCAAATGAAGCCCCTCTTCTAGCCGGCCTGCCTCCTCCATTTCTTCCATCCGCCGTCAAGACTTCTTGCAGTTGTCTGAAGTCTTTTCTTCTAGTCAGCCTGTTGTCCAATTGCCCCCATCCTCTTTTCCTAGACATCCATTCCTTCTTCCAACCGGCTTGAAGGTTACAGAGTTCCATCCAAGCAGTCTTGATGGTTGTCGTTCTTCAACTAGCACTCTGAAGACTGCTGCCCCAAGCCACCAATAACTATAGTTTCTTTGTCCCTGGTCAAGAAATATGCATCAAGATAAATCTTTGAAACATCTTTAGCCTTCAAGAAGACTTGTCTCGACTAATTCTAGATTATTAACCTTCTTTTTGTTTTTGTACACATTATTAATGTCATTAAGACTAGCCATTACTAATTCTACATTATTATCCTTCTTTTCTTGGTTTTTGTACACATTAACAGTGTCAATTAGCTTAGCTAAAAATAGGAAATCAACCACAAGATATATATTTTTGTTGGGGGCAAATGGGTCATCTAGAAAGGCAAGAAACAAATGATTGTGGTTGAAATTGAATATAGAGCTATGGCTCATTCTACATATACAATTTACTGGATATAAATTCTTTTAAGGTAGTTTGAATTTTTGTCACTCAACCTATGACACTATATTGTAACAATCATGATGTCATTTACACTGCCAACCATCCTATTTTTCATGAACATACTAAATATATTTAAGTGTGACGTCACTTGACGTCACTTCATTCAGGATGTTGTGTCATCCAAGAAAATTATTACTCATATTTTAAATTTTGAGTAAGTGGCAAACCTCTTTACCAAAGCTCTAAATCACTACCTTTATCTCATTATGTAATAAGCTGGAGCTAACATGTATATATATATACTCTCTCTTAAAGGAAAGTATTCACATATTAGGCAGGTAGTTATATTTAGAGATATTAGCATAATATTAAGAGACATACTTTTTTCATATTACTATTCTCCTTTATTTGTTTCCTTTCTTGTACTCTCCACTATTTTATTTATAAGCTCAAGTGTATATAATAAAGATATACAAAAGTTACGCCCCAATCAACAATAACAATTAAAGTCAAAGTAGGTGATTAAAAATGAATAAATGCCTTAAAGAGTATTACGTAATAAGTGAATGTCCTGGAAATTTAAAACTTAATTTTTTATAAATTAGCATTAGAACAAATTATGTAATATGGATCTATGTGTTGGATGGTTGAAAAGAAGGCAAACATGGCCAAATAGTTAAAAAGTGAATGTTAGCATAAATGTATGATAAAAGTACGAAGAACTTAGTATGAAATGATTACATTAAAAAAAGCGCAAATCTAAAATGTAAAATATATTAAGGTAGTTTAAGTATGTATAACACAGGCAGAAGATACGCCATTTAGATGGGTGAATATAGCTAACTTAGAAGAATTAGAAGCAAAATGGGCCACCTCATTCAACACTAAACAAGAATAAATGGAGCATGAGAATTCATAAAGCTGATTCAAAACAATCAAGATAAGCCATTATCATCATCATTTTTCCTTGAGTGTAAGAATACATAAAGTTTGTTATCAACAGAAGAGAATATCGGAATTCTACCTCAAAAGGGATGTAGGGACGAAGGGGGGTTCCCTATCGTGTAGAACGTACCGATCAACTGTTTCTGGTAGGGCTCATCATACTTAAAATAAAAAACGAAGAAAGGAAAAAAAATGGCATTTATGACATTTCTACAAACAACTTGTGTAACTCTCTGACCTATGCGAAAATAAAACCCAGGCCACCATCCAGTTCTTCGAGGAAATCCCATCAAATCTATGTAAAAATTAGAACCAAGAAACCGCACCTTCCAACGGGAAATGGAAGAAGCCCTCGCGTTTTCTTCCTCTTCTTCGCTGTCCACTGAACTCTCCCCTTCACCATCCTGCTCTGCCCCTGCATCATCATCAGAGGGCCTGTAATCCTCATCTTCCTCGTCGCCAGCTCCGACGAGGCGCTTATCCTTACTCTTCTTTAGGTCCCGCGCCTTCGGCGGCTGTTTGGAAGAAGAACCGATAAGAGAGAAGGCAAGATGGGGAAGCCCAAGTGTTTCCAGCCTTGCTTTGTTCTCGGCGATCCTCGTGAGCCTACGCTTCTCGTACTCGGATATCCCTTCGTCCCCCATTTCATTCTCGTTGATCGCGCTCTAGCGTGATGAATGTTCACTACCTTCCAAGCTGCTTGACGAGGGCTGGGTTTCTGAACGCCGAGAGAAAAAAAAAAAAAAAAAACTGCACGCATAGGCAATATTTATGTTGAGAAATTTGACTTTGTATGGATAACTATATAGCTCATATTTAATTTATTTGAAAAAAAAATCTAAAAATTTATTTCAGATCAACAGTTCTAAAAATTACATATATCTGATTAGGAACACAAAAACATAATTTCTAACCTAGTTTTAACCTAATTTGACATTGAACTTTGTTCAATCAAATTTTGAAGAGGTCTGAAAATTGTTTAAATATTATTCGAATATGGTTCAAAAACATGTTTAAAATGAGTTTGAATAAGTTTCATTATGGTTCAATTAGATTTTAATATCATCTAACGTGATTATAGTAGATTCTAATATTATTTGGCTTGGTTCAAATTTGATGATAAAAAAATGATTTGAGTCAGATTAGAACAATATTTAAGATTTGAACATGATTTGAAACTATTTAAATCAGATTTTGATCATGTTCGACTCTTTCTTTCAACTGGTGTTTAATGTAGTGCAAGATTCGAACAAGTTAGAACAAGGCTTGAACTTTGTTAAGATTGTGCTAGAAAAGTGCAACTTAATGATCATTTTTTTTTACATTAACCAACACTATAGAATATCATTGGTAGAACATCATTTATACATAGTTTTATAGTTACCTTCATAGTAACATTATTTAGAATATACATAGCTAAAGCATTTAAGATGTCTTCTAAGATTGTTGAATATATAACTACATAGAATATTAATAACATAACTATAAAATTTAAGATCGTATTTTAACATAGCTACATTCACAAAAATAATTTAGAAGTCTAGATAAATTTAGTGTCAATCACATGAAATACTTTATATATTAAGGTTATAAGTTTTTAGAGAACAAGGCCATACAAAACTTGTCTTTGAAGAACTAAATGTGATCATTTGTAATTTAAAGAAGTTCCTTCTTTATGATCAAGTATTTAATGTAATTGATAGCATACACTCTATGTTCCTCACTACAAAACAATACAATTAAAATTTTGTTAGTGCATGAGTTTTAGAAATATCATGATGAGATAGCATTGATCCACAATTTAAAGATTTCATTTAAGACAGCAATATCTAACTCAAATGTTTTGGCCTAAAAGCAAAATGCATCAATAGGTTAAAAAAATAATAAGTCGTATTATAAATAATAATGTATCAATACGGAACATGATTTCACCATACTATAACATAGCATTAGGATTGTTACCTTGTTATTAACTAATTTGTGAGTGTATGTTGTTACTAAAAACATATCATGCTAGCACTTCCCATTCAAGTCTTCCTATCTATTCAGTTCTCTATAACACTTAGCATCCAATCTTGAACTAGGATAACTATTCTTTAGCTAAAGAGAAGAGAAGGTCAATCACATATTGATCCATTAACCTAGATGGATTTGTGAGATCACAAGCTAAATTCTTCATATTCCTCTTAGATTTCTCTTATATGCAACACTATTTACATATGTTTAATTTAAAAACTAAAGTCCTTATGTGTACTCATCATTTACAAGCTCCTCTTTGTGTGTCCTTTTCATTGTCTATCTCAACTCCTTGCGTATAATCTTTATTTAAAATCTCAATTTATTATATCTTCTCTTCATATACAAGCTAAACTCTTGCATCCTTTTATTTACAATCACAACAGGTGGAGTAATGTGTTTTAGGTCTTCATGATGAAATCTTTACCAATCCTTGTATGACTACTTAATTCATTATCATGACTCACTTGGGTGGCAAAATCTCTTATACCTTTTTATGTACAAACTAAATTAGTACATCCAATTTTGCTTATTTTTTAGTTGATTACTCTTTAATTCTTGAACTTGGCAAAAAGCTATTCTAGGTCATTGGCAGAGATCATAGACTTATTTTGGTTCTTTCTTCCATGCACCCTCTCCTTTGGTTCCTTAGCTTGACCATGACACTTTCCATTAAAATCTGTTAGGGTATATTTCTCCTTCACAACCCTAATAGGTAGAGGTTGAGGATGTGTGTATACAATAGACTTATAGAAGTATTCCTCATTAGGATTGTGCACTAGTGTAGGGTTAATTATTGCCTATAAAAAAATTATTTAATGTAACATTTGAAGTTAGTTGCAACTACTTCTTAACAAAAACAACCACTAGAAATATCCATATCACTTATATCTTTATAGTTTAAAAGTGGCAAATAATGTTTGATTATGAGCCCTTCATTGTGCTTCAAGCTCAACATCTTGGTAAATTTATCTCTAAAGAATTTATCACAACTCTTCCCTAGCTTTAAAATGGCTTCATAAGCCAAATATTGTAATGATATAGAAAATCAACTAATAATGTATTAAGCTAGTGTTCATGGAGAAAATTGATCACCTAGTTATCATGGAGCAAATTAATAATTTGTTATGAGACAGAAAGGAATGTGCTGCCTAGTGTTAAATACATGACAATGAGATCGGAGGAGCATTTTAACTAAGAGCATGTGAGATTGGACACCATAAAATTGTATAGTGATTTAATCAGATGACCAATGTGCCATTGATCAAGAAGTTATTATTTGACCAAAGAATCAATAATAAGGAGAATGACTTATGTTTAAATGACCCTCTTTAGGAGACATAGATGAGATGCCCTTATAATATGTGCTAAAATAATTCTCTCCTTTTATAGGGGAAAATTAATAAAGAAATCAGAATGACGGCACTATGAGGCATTGGGAGGCTTAAAGTTAGTTATTCCCATTTGGACTCCAAATTCTAATTCTTCTTTTTTGCTTTTGCTTGCTTGTTATGTGTGAAATCTGACTGTGTTGATCAATTGGGTTGTCATATTGAGTCAGACCTTAATTCTGTCAGTCGAGCTCACTAAGGGGATACAGGGGGTCCTCCCCTTGCTTGGGTTTGGGTGTTTTGCATCGGATATTTTTTTATACACTTGTATAACACTATGAAGATGTGTACCTGAGTGTTATGCCGCTATATAGTCTATTTGGAGATAGACAGAGAGCGAAGAGCTGCGGTTCTCCAGACCTCGATGTTGCGACATTATTAGTTAGATTGAAGACATAGAGTGGAGAGCCATGGCACTTCAAACCTGGCGTAGCGAGTAAATTTGGCCAGTTTTCTTTCTCATTTTTTCATGTTTAACATGAAGGGTTATGTCTCTTGGGTGATTTTATGTTTTCCTCTTTATTCATTATGTGTTGTTAGTATGGTGTAAGAGTGAAGAGAAAAAATGAGAGTGGGAGAGAAAGAGATGTGTACAATTTTTGTCATTTTCATAATGAATTTCTTAGTGTGGTGTGACTCTGTGGTTTTTTTTTCCAATTTTAATTTTTTTCCATATTAAATTATAGTGTTCTTTCTTCTACTATAGTTTCTCTTTCTTATTTGTATTCGCTACATGCATGTTTTACTTCCCCATCAGTGCTCCAATTGCTTAATCTTTCTTTTTTTTTTTCTTTCTCCCTCTCCATGCATCTCTTTTGAAGGGAGTTGAAGCCATGTGTTTTTTCTTTCAATGGTGCCCATTATATGTCAATATTACATGATAATTATTATAATATATGGTGTCAGAAGTCATATGTCACTACATAGGATAGATTATTAGGGTTATGATGGAAAGAAAATTCATGGGGCAATAATCTCAGAGGTTGAGATCTAAATGGTCTTGAAAGAGTGGTGGTGTGAAGGTGAATTCTGATACAATATATTATACTCACTATGACCTAGATTTAGGCCATTAAAATTGATGGATCACATCCAAATCAATTATTGGATTCAAGTATTGATAGGGTTAGTTTTAGTTGTTTTATATTGGACTCATCAAGAGAAAGACAAAGGAAAAAAGTCAAGGAGGCTCCTTGGTTGACCCAAGGTTGGATCAATCTCAAAGCCTCTTAACTATAGGTTTTTCATCAAGAAGAGGGTCATGGGCCATACTAAGGATTTCCCAAAAAAAGGATTCCACTAGTGGGCAGTTGAAGATAAGATGGTGATATTGTGAGCATGTTAATCAATTCTATGAATATAGTTGCAATTGGCCTTTAAGGCACATGAGATTTTTAAGGTTATAATTTCCCCTTATTTTTAGGAGATGAGATATGGAGCAAAGTTGGGACCCAAAATGTGTTATTGTTGAAATGTCAAAAATCCATTACAATTCTACATATTTCATCTTATGACCATGAAATGAAAGATAGTGGCTATCTTCAAGTATTTCAAGAAGTTGAAGGGTGATTCCTTGAAAGGTGTCACAACTCTAGAAGGAGGTGGGGAAGGTAGTGGGGGCTAGTAATGTAATACTTGATGTCAGAATTCAGGTAAAATTTTTATTAATGATGGTTAATTTTAAGTTAATTAGAAATTATAAGTCTTAGATAGCTTAATGAGGCTTAGAGGTAACAAATATTTGGGTTGCAAAAGTGAAAAATGCAAGTTGGAATTTTTCCTCTGCAAGTGTCATGGCATCCAAGTAGGCGACGGCCCGTCTTTGAGCTTCAGAAAAATTGGATAAAAAAATAGATTTTTGGCAAGTGTTATAGCGTCGGGTCTCAAGTGAGCATATTCAGAGAGAATTTGGAAGATTCTTTGGGAACGTTATAGCACTAGAAAGGCGAGCACTACGACGTTAGGTCAACTTAGTAGTTTTTAAATATTAAAAATATGTAAATCTATTTCACCATCCTTATTCTAAGCCACTTTGTCAAAGAGGAAATGAGGGGAAATGGAAGGAGAGAGAAAATAGATGAGAGGTTTTGAAAGATGAGATCTAGAAATCATATGTCTAGCTAATTGGAAAAATTATCAGACTCAAGGTAGACAACCCATACTCTATTTCTGATTTCAATTCCAAAGTGTTTATTTTTCCTGAGTTTGAAAAAAGTTTCATCGTGTAACTTTTAGTATATTGTTATACCCTTTATTTTGGATAATTTGATTATAAGAATGTAAAATTTCACTGATTTATGTACTTTGAATAAATTTTATAATTTTTGGATATATGAATCACTTCTAA